GTCTGGAGGGAGAGCGGTGGCTAACAGAGTTTGCTCCGGGTGACTGGCCATGAAAAGCCTGGATTTACTTAACTTCGGTTCAAGTAACCTTGATCGGCTCCCAGCGCTGCAAGTTTGTTTGATCTCTTTCTCATCGAGTCTTTTTAACAGCTTCACTGAGTATTTCACGCGGCACAAAACTCACCTATTTGAAGTTGTACAATTCCGTGGTTATTTAGTCTACTCATGGAGTGGTGCAAACATCACCACAATCCGATTTCAGAGCACGTTCATCACCCGAAAAGGAAACCCCATACGATGAGCAGCCGCTCCCCTCTCCCCGCAAATCCAGCCCCAGGCAACCACTAATCTACTTTCCATCTCTTCAAAAGGCTTTTATAACAAAATAATCTCCAGAATTTACTTTGATTTACTTCTCCTTGGCTGTTACAAGACTGAAAGTTCACAATAGCTCGATGCCCCCCTCCCCCCCCCCCAAAAAAAAAATCAACAGTGACAGCGCTGTTAGGTCTCTGCTCCCAGAGGCAGAGGCACGTTCTCAGCCCCTGGCGGCCGCTGGTCTCCGCCTGGACCTGCTCTGCTGATGCGCTGAGTCCGGCCTGCCTCTGAGCCTTAGCTCTGGTCTCAGGCAGAGGCGGCACTAGGCTCTCCCAATGGAAGACGTTTGCAAGTAATTCAGGACACTTCCAGCCGGTGGAGCGACTTACTCTGAACTTGGGGCAAAGTGGGCCGGAAGGGGAAGCGGGAAAGCGAGGTTGACTGAGGACATGTCCCTGCATTGGGGGGGGGGGGGGGGTGCTGCGGCAGGTGCTCTGGGCTGCCGTCTCCTGCAGCGTGGTCATCTCTACCGCTGGCGTCTGGATCTGATGGCAGGGACAATGCCTGGACTCACAGCGGAACTGTGAGGAGCAGGGCCTATTCGCTTTACACAGCCTCAACTTTTAATGGGATTCAAGTTGATTCCCTGGAAACCACGAGATTTGCTGATTAGCGAATGGGCATGACCTGGACAGTGAGCCTTGGCTGCCTGCTGTCCCAGACGCATGGCTCCGTTCTGGATCATCTCAGCTTCTGGAGTAGCTGCCAGGACAAAGCTGCTTCTGTGTATTTGTTGGACGGGGAAGGTGTTGGGTGGAGCAGATGGATCTGGATGGGTGTAAGATTTCAGGAGGAAGGCAGGAGGGAGGGTTTTCCCAGCGGGGAGAGGGTTTGGGAAGCAGTGCCTGCCATTCCCACCTCCCTCCTGCCCGCCCCCAGCTCTCAGGGCCCGTGCTGGGCTGTCACAGGCCTTTCTCCGGCCTGCGCAGTGAACAGTCCAGACCATTGGGAAAGGAGGAAGGAAAGGGAAGGACGTCTAGCTGCTGTTTGGTCCTTGCAAGCGAAGGCTTTACATCATTTAATTTAATCATATCCCAAATCCACAAAGGAAGGACGGTCCCGACTGCGCATGCGAGGAAATGGGCGCTGAGGTGAAGGAATAACCCGCCCAGGTCACAGTCCCTAGTGCTGGAGCAGAGAGGAGAACTGCGGGTGGCTGGGTCAGTACCCACTCACCCTGCCCAGCAAGCTTGGGGGGTGGTGGTGGGGGGGAGCTGGCATTCTCTTTTTTATAGTCAGCACTTTCAGCAATACAGTATTTTTAATGAAGGTGTGTGTACCCTGTGTGACAGATAACACTTAAGGGACTAAGGATAGTAGAGACATGCCTTTCGTATGTGCCTGGAAGCCAAAGGCGTCCTGTGGCCGGCTGTGTTGTGATACTTGCGCCATTGGGGTGGCCTGGACCTGAACCCCTGCCCCAGGTGTGCCTGTGCTCTGACCGGACTCTGCCTCCCTCTCCCTCTGAGACTCTTCTGGTCCCGGGCCACCTGCGTGATGGGGTGAGTCCAGGGCAATCTCCATCTTAATGTGCCAATTAGCACCTTCTGGAATGAAATTGCTACCTTCACTGCAACGAAAGCTCCTGCTTTCAACAGCCTGCAGCTGGCCAGGGCCCTGACTCGGAAGGTCCTGGCGATGTGGGTGCTTGAGCTGCCTCTAGGCCCTGGCAGCACAGGCGCTGTGGAGCGCACAGAGCTTCCCCCCTGGAGAACGTGCTGGGACCAAAGCCCTGGATGCACTCCCTGCAGGAATGAGAGTGCAGGGGTCTGGCCTCCTAGGCTTGTCTACAAAACCCGTTATTTATGAAATGATTCACATGGTGTGATGCTGCCTCAGGACCTACCATGCAATGACGTTTCTGTGTGTGTGTGTGTGGGGGGGGGGTGGTGGTGGTTGTGATCCCAGAAACATATTTCTTACAGTGAAATGGGGGTCACCCAGTGCGTGTCGTGGTTCCACAGCCGGGGCAGGAACCATGGCCCCAGCAGAGCAGAGGGTGGGAGGGAGTGGAGTCAGAATGAGGAGCAGGGAAGTCCTGTCTGGCTGTGAGGACGCTGGGGACAGGCCTGCTGGGCGGTGGGCTGGGCGAGCTGGTGACTGCTCTGCAGGCCTGTGCGGGGGTGGTGGCAGGCGTGGGCTGGTGTTTCATAGCCATCAACCTCAGAGTCACGTCTCAGCCCGGGCCAGTCTTTCTTTTCTCTTTAATGGACACACGGTCTGCCTAGTCCAGTTTCCTCTGCTCTTCAAAGCCGTCCTTTCCTTTTCCTCGAAGGCCCCACAGGAGGGTGCACTGACTTTATAACCCCTAAGGGCGTCTGCCCAGCTGCAATCTGATCACGGTTAACACTCCTCAGTGTGTCCATCCTCCTGCCCCCGCCCGCAATGAGGCTGTCTTTAAAAAAAAAAAAAAAAAATATATATAAAATATATATATATATATATATATATATATATATGGGGTATATATATATATATATATATATATATATATATATATATATATATATATATATTTGGATTTCAGAGAGGAAGGGAGAGGAAGAGACAGAAACATCAATGAGAGAGAATCATTGGTCGGCTGCCTCCTGCACGCCCCCTACTGGGGATCAAGCCTGCAACCCAGCATGTGCCCTTGACCGGGGTTCCCAGGGACCCTTCAGTCCATAGGCCGACGCTCTACCCACTGAGCCACGCCGGCCAGGGCTGAAGTCCTCCTTTTTCAAATGATAAACAAGCTCGTGGAAGCGGCCACCTGCTTCTCCACCTTCCTCAGCCCTGGGCGCAGCGCGGGCTCCCAGGCTCTGTCCTGCGCCTCAGGCTGGGCCTCCGCCCCAAATGCTCCCCCAGTCTCTCTCCTCTTGTTCACTCTTCACCATCCTCTGAGACTCAGCTCACAATTGTCTCCTGAAACTGCCCACCCCTAGGTAGGGGCGGGTCCGTCTTTGCCATCCTCCTTCCGTGCACCTCTTCCCCCCATTTAAATTGCAACGTTACCCTGAAGCCGTTTACATGGGTGCCTCCGCTTGACACCAGCACCCACCACAGCTCCCACTGGGATCCAACACATGCACGTCCAAAGCGAGGCGAGGTGGCTTCCCACACGCTTGTAGGGGGGCCCCTCTGGGAGCGGCTGGCGAGCTGTCGGTGTGGCTCACAGCTGAGGCCCTTCCTGCGCCCAAGTCACAGCCCTTCCCAGGGCACTCAATAGCCAATGGCTGGTCCAGGTCGGGTAGCCAGAGCCTGGCCCCTTGCCTTTGAGGGCCATCCCCACTCATAGCCCTCAGCGCTGGGCGGCAGCCTTGGTTGTACCTGCATCACCCTGCACCGCCCTCAGCCCCGCCCCGCCCACTCCCTCCTCAATGACCCCTCAGCCCCGCCCACTCCCTCCTCAGGGGTAGATACAGAAGCAGAGCAACATTGAACAGAATGTTAAACTACAGTGGGAAGCCTGGGGAGGGTTGGGGGGGGGATTAAGAGACCAACTGAAGGACTTATATGCATGCATATAAGATTAACCAATGGACACAAGACACGGGGCGGGGGGGGGCGGGGGGTAGGGATCGGGGGAATGTCAAGGGGGGGGAAAAAAGGAGACATATGTAATACTATTTGTAATACTTTAAGAAATAAAAATTATTATTAAAAAAAAAAAATGACCCCCCAGCCCCGCTCACTCCCTCAATGACCCCCAGCCCCGCCCACTCCCTCCTCAATGACCCCCAGCCCCGCCCACTCCCTCCTCAATGACCCCCCCCAGCTCCGCCCACTCCCTCCTCAATGACCCCAGCCCTGCCCACTCCCTCCTCAGTGACCACCCAGCCCCGCCCACTCCCCCCTCAGTGACCCGTGCATGCACATCTCCATCCCATCACAGGCCTCTCCAGTGAGAGCACCCCGTTACACAGAGCACCCCTCCAGCTTCTCCTGACTGCGACCCCTGAAGCACGTGATCTTGTCTGAGGGGTTCTTATTGCTTCCAACGAGGCAAAGGCCATCAAACAGCTCCCTCCAGGGCCCTCATTTCTTCCGAAACGTTGCACGTTGCCATTCCCTCCCTCAATTCCCCCTTTAACGGTACAGACTCAGTGGGAGAGACAAGCGCACGGACTGCTGGTCCTGGCGCATCTTCCCGTGGAAAGAACCCAGGGGAGGTGCGCAGCCTCCGGAGGAAGCTCCCGGCTCTCCTGAGCGTGTGGCTGCAGGAGCCGAGCTGAGCCCGGGCCTGGCCCGGTTCTGGGTGGGGAGACAGTGGACGGAGGGGACTCGCAGTGGCCACCGTGCTTCCACTCACTCAGCTCCCCTTCCTCTTCTTGGGGAGACTCAGCCCTGCCTCGGGGTGAGGGGGGCGTGGGGAGCTTTTCTGAGGGTGCGATGTGTCAGCTGGTGCCCAAGGGGCTATTGCCTCTGCAGGTGTAGCCCTGCCCGCGACGGAGCAGAAGGAGCGGAAGTGGGCATCCCTTCCAGCAGCCTCGGGAAGGGGGGGGGGCAGTCCAGGCGGGAGCGGGCTCCGGGAGGACTTCCCCGGACTCAGCTCAGGGGTGACCATCCTCACCCCAGGCTGTAACAATGCCACGGAAAATCAAGGTCCGTCTGTGTGAGCCAAAGTGAAAGGCTGTTACCTTAATGCTGCGTTTCCTGTGCTTTTTCCCTTTCTCCAGTTGAAACAGATAGCCTTCCGAGTTGGCACGGCTTATTTTCAGCTCGTTTCTTCGGCTTTTCTCGGAGTTGAGTTGGGATTCGCTTTCTGTTCTTGGCAGAATGGGTGGGAATGTGACCCTGGTCGAGGCCCCTGCGCCGGGCTGCACCTCCGCCAGCTGCGCCAAGGCTTGTTGGTGCTGCTCCATGAGCCGCCCCAGCCGCGAGCCTGGGGACTCGGCAGGGGGGCTGTCGGGGGAAGGATGGAAGTTCCTTACGGGAAAAGCACAGAACTGTTAATAAAACCTGATACATCCATAGCACAGAACTCTTTAGCAGCCATTATTTTGATATATTTCTTACTCCATAAATCATTTTAACGACCTTTTCATACATGAATTTCTTAACTCAAAATACTTCTATTTTTAAAATCACTGGGGGGGGGGGGGGCCCTCAGCCCAGCCTGCGCCCTCTCACAGTCCCGGAGCCCTTGAGGGATGTCCAACAGCTAGCAGGCCTAAGCCGTCAGTCAGACATCCTTAGTGCTGCCGCAGAGGCAGGAGAGGCTCCCACCACTGCTGCTTTGCTTGCCAGCCATGAGCCCAGCTTCTGACTGAGAGGTGCTCCCCCTGTGGGAGCAGACTGACCACCAGGGAGCAGCTCCTGCATTGATTGTCTGCCCCCTTGTGGTCAGTGCATGTCATAGCAACTGGTTGTTCTGCCATTCAGTCGATTTGCATATTAGCCTTTTATTATATAGGATTTTTATTGATTTCAGAGAGGAAGGGAGATGGAAGGGAGATAGAAACATCAATAATGAGAGAATCATTGATCAGCTGCCTCCTGCAGGCCCCCTTGACCAGAATTGAATCTGGGACCGTTCAGTCCGCAGGCTGATGCTCTATCCACTGAGCCAAACCAGCTAGGGCTATTTTTATCTTTAGAATAATCCAGCTTTTATTTATAACTTTCATTTATTGCATTTTAAATAGAAAAACTCCATTTTGAAAAATCAAAGAACTTTCCACTTCAAAATACCTAATAATGTTGGATTAAATTAAACAAAAATCCTTTTCAACATAAAGTTGAATTTGTATAAAAAACATGGAATCTTCAAAGACCAAAAAATAAAGAAAAACAACAACCATAAAAGTAAAGCAGATTTTGCATAAGCTGAAGCTATTAGGTCCAAAACGTCTACTGAGTTTTAATGTTTAACACTGGAGCTGGATATGTGAGGCCATGGCCCCTGTGAGGTGGGGAATCAGGTCGGAGATGCCTGTATGAAGCTGCAACCCTCAAAGAGCTACATCCTCAACACAAAGGCGGAGTGGTGAGAAGCTCATTCACCAGCCTTGAGAAACGACAGGGCAGGCCTACCTGTCTTGGTCTAGGCTCTGAATTGGAAAAAAAACAAATTCTGTGAATTTCCATGGGAAAATATTTAGGGTTCACATTAACCTTACCCACATAATCATGGAAATTTAACACAAAGAAATTAACATAAAAATGATCCTGGAATCGGGGTGCCCCTGTAGTAATGGGGGAAACAAATAAAAAACTTCTCTGGAGGGATACACTGTCACCCACAAAACATCATTGATGTTTCTCTCTCCCTCTTCCTTCCTTCTGAAATCCATAAAAATATTTTTTTAAAAACCACATTAATAAGCAATTAGTTAAATCTAAACCATCCCAAATCCTAGAATAGATGAGGACATATTCTACCAAGTATGAGAGTTAACAGACAAATATGCGCACACACACAAAGCAGTAGAATATTTCCAAGAACTTTAAATAATAGAATATTAGATAACATTCATAAAGTAAGCATGTTTAAAATTATTAAAGATATGAAAGAAGAAATAAAAACTCTGAGAAACAAATTTGGAAAAAAGAACAGGAAGGTTCTAATCAGAACCACATAAAAATTCTAGACAGAAAAATTACCCTCATTAAAATTTATAACTCAGTGGTTACATTAATGAGCATTAACCCAGCTGAGGAGAGTTATTTCACTGGAAAACTCATCAGAGGAAACTTCTCAGAAAGAAGCAGAGAGATAACAGCTGAAAAATAAACAGAGTTAAAAAAGACACAGAGGCTAGAATAAGAGAATCTAATATACATGCATTTGGTGTTTCCAGAGGAAAAATAAAGCAAATATGGAAGACATAATATTCAAAGGGAAAATTGGTGGTAATTTTTCAGAATTTATGAAAGAGATGAATCCTCAGATTTAGGGATCACAGAAGAATAACAATTAGGATTTAAAATTTCAGACCTAGATAATTCACAGTGAAACTTCAGAATGCTAAAAGCAAAGGAGAGACCTTAAAACCAACAAGAGAAAAATAGGCAGATTATAAACAAAATGCATAATTATATTGATAAAAGACTTTTAAAAGAACACAAACTAAAAGATAGAAAAATAATGTTTTTAAAGACGTTAATTCTCTATCAGGTTAAACTATAATTTAAGATAAAGGATAAAGTAACTTCAGGTAAGTTTACCAGTGACACACATACTTCCTAAAAGAACTTCTAGAGAATCCACTTCAGAAAAAAGAATAAAATAGAAGAAAGAATATGAGGCAAAACCATTAATGCCAGGTGGGTGTGACTCAGTGGTTGAGAATTGACCTATGAACCAGGAGGTCACGGTTCCATTCCCGGTCAGGGCACATGCCTGGGTTGCGGGCTTGATTCCTAATAGGGGGCATGCAGGAGGCAGCTGTTCCATGATTTCCTCTCATCATTTATGTTTCTCTCTCTCTCCCTCTTCCTTCCTCTCTGAAATCCATAAAAATATATTTTTAAAACCACATTAATAAGCAATTAGTTAAATCTAAACCATCATTGACTTGAGGGGACCCAAGAGGGCAGTGAATAGGTGAAAGCTACATTTACCTCCTCCCAGGATCAAACTGGAATTACAGCTAAAATACAGAGCAATCAACCTGAATAACCAATGAAGACTAGTTGAATAGAAGTCTTACAACAAAGGATTTGCAGAAGATGCCACATCAAAACTGGTAGGAAGGGCAGAGAAGTGAAAAGGGCTGGCCCTGCTCCTACAGGCATTGGCTGAGATTCTGGAAGGATGTCTCAGCTGCAAAAGTTTTCCCTCAGGAAAGTGGGGTCTCAACCCAATGCCGGGCTCCCCAGTCAAGAGCATCAGAGTCATGAAGAGGCACCCACATAACATCCAGTGTGAAATGCAGTGTGGTTTCTGTCTGCCAGGGAGAGACGGCGTCCACTGAAGATACAGGCACCTTCTTAGAGTGCCAACACACAAAGCTCATTTGCAGCCACTCACCCTGGGCTCTGGTGGAGGGAGGGTGGAGCAGACTCAAGTCATGTGAGGAGAGACTGGGGTTTGTGGCTCTTGGGAGGACGCTGAAGGGAAGTCACCGGGATCCCTGTGCGGAGCTCCTCTCCCACACCGCACGTGCCATCTTTCGTGGGTGGAGCAATCACCTCCACACTGCACCAGCCTGGGGGGAAGCAATAGCCACTACCTGGTGACTCACTGAGAACCCACCTCATGCAGCTCAAGTACTGGCAGAGGCTCTCTCAGTGACCTGGCCACACAGGCAGCTGCAGGCAGAGGAGGCAGAGGCGGATGTCGGGGATGGCAGGCCTTTTGCTGACCTGTCCCCAAGCGTGATGCTGGTGGAAACAGGCCTTGAGGGGCAGCTTGGTCCTTTGCATGCACCCCCAGGCCCAGCAGAGGCAGCCACCGATTGTGGATCACTTTGCATCTCCAAACAGATTGCCCAGGGCCAGTCACAGACAGCGTCTGCCATTGGCCTGCACCAGAGTCTCTCCCAAGAGGCCCCAGAACCAACACACCCTGTGTCCAGCATCAGACAACACCAGAGCAGGATCCAATTAGGATCACAAGCAGCACATCCACAGGGAGATCGCGGCAGGAACAAGACCCTGCTGAGGCGAAATCTGCTCTGTGTGGTCAGCATCTGCACAGCAGCTTGTACACTGTGGTTGGGGTAGATCCTCACAGTCAGCCAGCCTGAGGGTCAACTCCATGTCTTAATGGGCCAATAGCAATCAAGACTCAACTGCAGCAGAAGGGTCCACATACACACAAGGGTTATTCATGGAGCACCCAGCACAGGTGATCAAGGAGACTGTGCCACTGGGTCCCACAGGACACATACTACATAAGGCCACCCTACCAAGGCTGGTAGTCATAGTAGACCTACCTCATACATTGAAACAGACACAAAGAGGCAGCCAAAACAGGAAGACAAAGAAACATGTCTCAAATGAAAGAACAGGAGAAATCTCCAGAAAAAAAGCTAAATGAAAGAAATGAAGGGAAATAATTTATCAGAAATAGAGTTCAAAACAATGGTTATAAGAATGCTCAAGAAACTTACCACAGTATAAAAGAGGACATAAAACCATATAAAAGAACCAGTCAGAAATGAAGAACACACTAGAAAAAATAAACCATAGGCTGGATGAAGCAGAGGCTCTAACCAGTGATTTGGAAAACAAAGTGGCAGAAAACCCGCAATCAGAGCAGCAAAAAGAATTTTAAAAAGTGAAGACAGATTAAAGGACCTTTGGAAAAACAGAAAGTGTAACATCATCCCCTTCATAGGGGTACAGGAAGAAGAGAGAGAGGAAGGGACTGAGAACCTATTTGTAGAAATAATAACTGAAAATTTCCCAAACTTGTTGAAGGAAAAAGATATACAACCCAGGAAGTGCAAATGGTCTCGCGCAAGATGAACCCAAAGAGGCCCACACCAAGACACATCATAATAAAAATGTCGAAGGTTAAGGACAAAGAGAGATCTTAAAAGCTGCAAGAGAAAGACAGTTACCTACAAGGGAGCTCCCATAAGGGTGTCAGCTGATCTCTCAATGGAAACATTTTGGGCCAGAAGGGATTGGCACAAAATATTCAAAGTCATGAAAAGCAAGAATCTACAACAAAGACTACTTTACCCAGCAAGGCTATCATTTAAAATTGATGAAGAAATGAGCTTCCCAGACAAAAAATAGCGAAAGGAGTTTGTTACCACCAAACCAGTATTACAGGAAATGTTAAAGGGCCTTCTTTAATAATGATGATAATAATAATGAGGAGGACGAGGAGGATGATAATGATGAGGAGGACAAAGAGTATGAGGAGGAAAAGAAAAAGAAACAGACAAACATAGTTAAAAGAATAAAATGGCAATAAATATATACTTATCAATATTTATTTAAAATGCAAATTGGCCGTAGCCAGTTTGGCT